CACACACACACGGATCTCCTTCGCGCAATTGCAGCAATCTTAGACCTGGAAGGAGCTTGGGGCAGCACGGAGAGCCCGGCTGGGCTCCAGCGCCGAGGGGAAGAGATTGGCCAAGCTCCCTGCACATCTACTGGCAGAGTTGGGAGGCTCCGGACGACCCCACAGGTAACAGGGCAAAGGAGGGGGGAGCGTGTGTGTGGATAACTGAAAGTCAGAGGTGGGGGTGGGCGAGAGGCAAAGGGACCAAACTAAGATCGGAAGAACGGAGGGTTTCATCCCCAGGAACTGGAATTGCATCTCCAGGCAACACCCTCCCCCCACCATGGGGGTGGGGGAACCGAGCCATTGGTTCATTATTAGTCAGGGATGGCTTGGGGAAGGTGACAGACAGACCTAGCCAGGTTCAGGGAGAAACTTTCACTTCCCCAGGGGAAAATGAAGTGGCATTTGGAGCATAGCAGAGCTCTGTCTGCGGGCAGACAGCTAGGGGGTTTCTCTACTGCGTGGAACCCAGCTCTTTTTCCCAGGGCGAGATGGACAGTTTAGGAGACGTTATTTCTAGAAAGGAAGAGTGTCATAAAGGATAAATGGGTCCTTTCAGTTTCACTTGTTAACAGCCCTATAATGGGAAATGATAGGGGTTGTCTGCAAGGCGAAGGGGAGGGGAGAAACTAGCAATTTTTTCTCAAGTTTGTGGTTGATAATGGGATGTCTTGGAGATTTCTGAAGATGAGACCCTCCACGAGTTTGAGCCAGGCATGATTTGGGGTAGGTTGGAAAAGAGGCTAGGCATTGGCACTGCTATCCTATTTTCTACCAGTACAGAAAACCAAATGTAAGAGATTTTAAGATTAGATGAAATTGTGGACTGCTAACATGGTTGTGTGTGTGTGTGTGTGTGTGTGTGTGTGTGTGTGTTCTGGGTTAGGGGCAGGGGTGTCGCAGATCAAGGGATAAAAAACAACCAGAGCTCTGCTCCTCATTTCTTAAGAAGCCCACTCATTGTTCAGAGCCCAAACAGCTGAGAATCTCTAAAGACCCTGCTGGCTCCCTGGAGTACAAAGCATCGCTACGGGGGGGGGGGGGGGGGGGCGGGGGAGAAGAGAGGGTAGAAGTCTGCCAGCAAATCGAAGATTCAATAGAAGGGCTCAAGGTACATTCCCATTCCTCACCCTCTAAGAGAAGATTTTTAGAGCTGGAAGAGGACTTTCCCAAGCATCTAATTCAATCTCTGTGTTTGACAGAAAAGGAAATTGAGGTCCAAAGAGCCTTCAGGGTAGACTCCTCATTGGTGCTGAGGTGGGAGAAGGTCAGGACCTGAGAAGGCCAAACTTTTCTGCAAGTTTGAAGGTGGGCAGACCTCCAGCCAACACACAGCACTTTCATCTTGATAGCCCCATGACAAAAGAGCCTAGATCTGGGACAGGAAGGGGCCCCAGCAGCCATAATTCTTTCATTTTACATATGGGGAAATGGAGACCCAGAGTGATGACCATAGAAGCATAGATTGAGTTCCAGAAGGGCCCTTGGAGACCATCTAGTCCAACCCCCCTCCCATTTTAAAAATGTTAGGATCATAGATTTAGATACAGCCTGCATTGGCTCACCCCTACTTCTTGCTGCACTGTGGCTGGGAGCCATGGGGGCTCAGCGGCCAATGTGTTAGTCTGGCCAGGTGCTGGAACCCAGCATGATGGATGCCCTAAGAGGACCACCTGCATGGGAGCATCCTTTCTGCCCCAAGATCCTCACTGAAGCGTTCTCTCCTGAGGCCCTTAGCTCATTCCTGGAGTTCTAACTCAAGTAGACTTTGCTCTTCTATCCTCCTGTGGGCTAGTCAGTGACAACATGGGGAGAGGCTCTGACCTAGAGTGGGACTGGTTCTTTGCCAAGCCACTGGAAATGTTAACTGGACCTCCCCCCCCCCATCCCATGCTGGCCCTGAATGAAGAGGGCTGATTGTGTCCTCTGGTTTGCCTGAAAGGCACACATCAGGAAAATGATCCCACTCTGGCCTCTAGACAGGCCAGGGAGGCATTCCTCCAGAGCCAGGGGGTGGGGGATTGCCACCACCCTGGAACTGACAGGGCCCCCTAGCTGGGGCTAACCTCAGAGTTATTTCTAGAGGACTGCTGAAGCCAGGTGTCAAAGGCAGACACCAATCCCAGACAGCATGGTCAAGTTGTGTCAGCTCTGGCCTGGGAGTTCAGAGATGTGGGCTCCTGTCCAGGCCCTGCCACAACCCAGCTGTACCTTGGGCAAATCACTCAACCACTCTATGCCTCAGTTTCCTCATCTGATAGATGAAAAATTTTGGATGAAGTCTCCAAGGTCCTGATTTTCTAATGCTCTCTTTTAATAATCACTGTTCTAAGGTCTCTCTCCCCTCTGACATGATATATTCTAAGGCATTGTCTGTCTCTAACATTCAATGCTCTGTTTTCTAAAGTCCCTTCCAGAGACTGAACCATTCTCAGTTCTGACATTTTCTATTCTAAGAGTCCACCTAGCTCTGACATTCTCTGTCCCAAGGACTCTCTCGGATCTAAAATTCGGTATTCTAAGGGCCCACTCAGCTCTGACATCTTGTGTTCTAAGATTCTTTCCCTCTCTGAATTCTCTGTTCTGAGGTTCTCTGACATTCTGTGATTCCATTCATCAGCCACAGCTCAGTCAGGGACAAGGACGGGTTTCCAGATGGGCTTCTCCATGCTTGTGCTATGGCACCTGTTGTCCTGCTGGGGCCCCTGCAAGGCTAAGGCAGCTCTGCCCATACCCCAGGTGAGGTCATCCAGCAGTCCCGCCTCATCCCATGCCCAATGGCCTTATCCCTGAAGGCTCCACCCACCCCAGCTCCCTATAAATCCCTGAGTGGGGCAGCTGTGTCTGTGTGGGGAGCCCCAATGGGCAGTGAGGAAGCCAGCTGTGAGAGAGTGGGAGTGCTGGAGCCACCCAGCCAGCTGCTGGGTCGCCATGACAACATGAGGTGGAGGTAGGCTGTCTCCAATGGCTTCAGATTGGGGGGGCACTCCCTGGGAGCCAGGTGGAAAGACTCAGTGGCTTTGTGTTGCCAGCAATCCCCACTGCTCATTTGGGCAGAAAGACTTTCCCTGACTGTTTTGCCCAGTTCTAGTGGATGAATCTTATTGTTTCCAGGCTGGAAAAAAAATATTAGAGAAGAACTTGCAAGCCAAGTAGCAGCCTGGGGATGAGGGGGGTAGCTCCAGTGTCAGTACGGTAAGGGGCAAAACAGTAGGTTGAATGTGTGATCTTGGGCAAGTCACCTAATCCCTCTGGGTCTCAGTTTCCTTGTCTGTAAAATGAGGGAGTTAGAACTAGATGACCTCTGAGTTCCTTTCACCATCCTATGAACCTGGGTCATCCTGACCCTGCTGCAAGCTCTCTGTATTCAGCCAGGAAGCTTTTCCCTCCTTGTCTGCAAATGTGAGTAATACCATTTGTATTTCCTATCTCACAGGGCTGCTGTGAGAAAAAAAGCTTCATCAGCTTAGTAGTGCTAGAGGAAATGAGAGCTGGGATTCTGAGGGGAAAAAGATTTGGGGTCTTTTCCCAAACTATGGGCATCACAGATGGGAACTATGATCCTGGGGGAAAGCTGGCTCACCTTGAGTGACTTGGAAACATGTGGGAAGAAGGGAGAAGCATTGTAGAGATAAGGAAGGTTGGGCCTTACCTTTCCCATCCTGGAAAAATGATTTTCTTGCTAGTTAGAATGGGATTTGGAGCAGCTAGGTGGTGTATAGTGGATAGAGTGCCGGACCTGGAGTCAGAAAGACTCGTCTTACTGAGTTCAAATCTGGCCTCAGACACTTACTGGTCAGAAACCACTAAACAACAATAGAATGGGTTTCCATTTAGTTGTTTCAGTCATGGCCAACTCTTTGTGACCCCATTTGGGGTTTTCTTGGCAAAGATACTGGAGTGGTTTGCCATTTCCTGCTAATTTTACAAATGAGGAAACTGAGGCAAATAGGATTAAGGGACTTGCCCAAGGTCACACAGCTAGTAAGTCTGAAGTCTGATTTGAACTCATGAACATGAGTCTCCCTGACTTCAGACCCAGCACTCTATCTACTACACAACCTATTTATTGAGCACTGGAGAGGCAACCGACCGATCCTAGTTTAAAATGGGATAGGGGGTGGGTGGGAAGGGAGCAGACACTGTTCCAGGTACCGAAGATAAAATGACAAAAATGAAATGATCCCTAACCTCAAAGAGGTTACATTCTAATGGAGAGAACATGGAACATGAAATGTCAGAGCTAGACAAGACCTTTAAACAGAGAATGTCAGAGGTGAGAGGGTCCTTCAAACACACTTTGTTACACAGATAGGAACAAAATAACTCTATGGAATTTCAAGAGGGAGAATGTTACTTAACTAGGGGTCTGGTGTAAGAGATGGTGCTGGACCTTGTAAAGCAGCTGTGGGGGTGGGGTGGAAGTATATTAAGGTATCTCCTTTTCTCTTAGGAGGTGAGAAATAAGCATTTATGTAGCACCTACTATGTTCCAAGCACTGTGCTAAGACTTACCTAATGCTGAACCCTTATTAAATCTCAACCTTTGAATTCTGTGTTTGTTTCTAAATAGTATGAAATAATAATAGCTAGCATTTACAAGAATTTTTGGCAGAACAGTAGTCAGCTTTACAGTTTGCAAAGTGCTTTACAAATGGAAGGTAGGTGCTATTAATATATGTATTTTACAGAAGAAGAAACTGAGGCTAAAAGAGAATAAGTGATTTGTTCAGGGTCACAAGCTAGGAAGTATCTTCGGCAGGATTTGAATGCAGATGGCTAGGTCCAGCATTCTATCCATCTAGTCTGAGAGGAGAGAATTTCGATTAATAGAGGCCACTCTTCTCCACTTCAAGTCTTCCCACCAGCAATGTTCCTGTATTCATAATCTTATATTTAATAATATTTTCTTTCCCCCAATTATGTATAAAAAACAATTTAGTTTTTTTTTAGTTTTGAATTGCAAATTCTATCCCTCCCTTCCTTCCCTCCCCCATCCCTGAGACTTTAAGCAATCATATAGGTTCTACATGTATTCATAATTTTATTAATAAATTTATCTCTGACAGAGTTCTTTGACATAAAGGATGGTGTAGTGGATAGGAAACTGGAGCTGGGATCAG